ACAACATCTTTGTTGGTATGTGGTGCTGAGGATCGAACCCGGGCCGCACTATCGCTTGAGCCACATCCCCAGCCCTTTATTTTTCTTTTTGTAGTTGTTTTGAAGAAATGAAATATTATACCCACCCCAACCTTGCCCTCTGTAGAGGTAAGTTATTGTGAGTTTTGTACTTTTCTAGCCCATTTTTATGCTTTTACTTGGTGTTTTAAAATAATAATAATAACAATAATAATAATTTATTATTATTATTATTATTTTGTACCAGGGATTGAACCCAGGGGCACTTAACCACTGAGCCACCTCCCTAGCCCTCTTTAAAATATTTTATTCAGAAACCAGTTCTAAGTTACATAGGATCTTGCTAAGTTTCTGAGGTTGGCTTTGAATTTGTAATCCTCCTGCCTCAGCCTCCACAGCTGCTGGGATTACACAGCTGCTGTGCCACCATGCCTGGCCTATTTTAAAAGTTCAACTTAAGTTGTATGCTTACCATATTTTTTGTTTTGCTCTTTTCTTACTCTACATGTTTTGCAAAGTCTCCAGTTCCTTTCATGACTGTCTGCTGCTGTCTGCTAGATCTATTGTTCTGACTGCTATATGGCATGTGCTCATTCTCCTATTGATTAAGATTTTGGCTGTTTCTATGGCTTCACCCTTATAAAGAAAGTTGCATTATCTTCCTTTGTACCTGTGTAGGAATTTCTCCAGACAACGTCTAGGAGCGAAGTTGCCGGGATCATGTAATAAATAGGAACCAAAGAGTTTACAGTATAAGGAATTCTTTATATACTCTCCATCAGATGTCTTCACCCAGCAGATTGATGATGACATGATGCTCCTTCATGAAGCCATAAGCCGTCTGAAGACTTTGGCTCAGCTTTCCTAGGCCCCTGGCTCACAGACCACACTGAACAGCCTCCACAAACATGCAGGTTCTATTCACCTTCCTGTGACCTTCCCAAGTCAAGTCCTCTCAGGGGAGGCCCCTGTTTTCAAGGCCTCAGCCCATTTCTACCTCCTTGCTTACCTAGGCCTTCTTTAGGGACCCTCCCTGGTGGGAGGGGACAGGGTAACCTGCAGGTCTGTTCCTTTCCAGGCTTGATGCTCTGTGTTTCTCAGCTCTTCCCTCTTGATTCTCTATAATTTCTTTTAGAATTAAAAACTTCCCCCAAGCAAATATTCTTTTGTCTTTGCATTTCTACTATAATAGTTCTGATTCTTCTCTGGTTGTGTGGATGCTTCCAACAAACAAGAGTCACACGTGAGGAAGTGCAGAAAATAAGAGCACAACAATTAAATTAAACATTCAATGGGTTAAATGTACACTTTTAAAAAGTTTTCATACCTTTATTTTATTTATTTAATTTTATGTGTTGCTGAGGTTCAAACCCAGTGCCTCACCTCACATGTGCTAGGCAAGCACTCTACCACTGAGCCACAACTCCAGCCCTAAACATTTATTTCTAAAGTACCTCTAAGATTACTCTTTGGGTTTTTATTTTTTTGGCATGTCTTTATGGAGACTGTCTGTATGGAGCTAGACATCCTCATGTATTCTGTAATTCTGGTCTGTGGGTTCACCTTCAGTGGAAGTTACATTTTATGGGAGTTTTGTCCTTTGTGGGCTGAGTCATGGGATTTCCCTTTAAGGTAGCTGCCTGTGCGCAGCCCTAGGAGGTAAAAGGCCTCCAACCAGCTCTTATGTTACTATTGACTTCGGACTCTGAACCATGAAGATACTGAGAATCTGGGCTCTTCTCCAGCTTGTGGGATAGGCTCTGGACTTCCCCAGCCAACTGTGCTCTCCTGTTGTCAAGGATAGATGGGTGGATGCACTCATGCCCAGGCCATCATTCCCACCCTTGGTAATAATGTATCCAAGAGAATGAAGACATGTCCATAGGAAGACTTGTGTACAAAAGTTCATAGCTGTATTATTCCTCATAGCTCCAAACTGAAAATGACTGGTGAATGGCAAAAATCAATTAAGTGTGGCATATTCATAGCATAAAATACTGTTCAACAATAACAGTAACACATCAATAACACGTTCAATAATATATGTGAACTCCAAAAAATCGATGTGAAGTGGAAATCAAACTCAAGAGACTAAGGGGTTGAGTTATATTATTCTATTTATGTGAAACTCTAGAAGATGCAAAATCATAGTGACAAAAAGATCAGAGGTGCTTGAGGCTGAGGGAGAGGGAAGGAAAGGACGGCAGAGGGGCATAAGGAAATGTTTCAGGAAGATGAAACTGCTCCATATCTGGACTGCAGCAGGGGTTACACAGCAGGATATGTTTACCAGAATTCATCAGTTGTGCCCTTAAAATGGGTAGACTTTACTGTATGTAGGTTACACCACCCAAAACTGGAACAAAATGGTGCTACCATTTGAACACTATTATGTGTGTCTTGGCCTTACTTTATCCTGTTTTCTTTAATGTGTTCCATTAGAATCTTAACTACTGCTGAATGACTATATGCTGAATGACATACACCCTTAAAAACAGTTATAAAAGCCCCATTTGAAGTGTGTGCTCAAGGAGAGGACATAGTTTCTCCTTCTGGCACTCCATGTGGTGAAGAAGGAAAGCAGGAGGTAAGGTTGGTTGAGGGTTGGTCACGAAGAATAGGTGAAAGATTTTTTACACATTAGTTATTTGATAATAGAGGCCACTGAAGGTTTGAGCTGTGCAGAAACTATTTATGATTTAGGAAGACATAACTGGATGCAATGTGTAGGCTGGTGTGTTAATGAAAAATACAGTCTCTTTTCTCCTATCATACTCAACACTCAGTACATCCTGGCCATCAAACTGTGTGGGACACACAATTTCCAATAGACTCTGATGGGTATCCTATAATTCAATTCAATTCTGACATTAATCAGAGTTCGTGTCTGATTCCACAGGTGAAGGGCACAATCTCTTGAGCTTGTCCCTCACTTCAGATACCAAACACACAATCCAGGTTGTGACCAATACTTTGAGCCTACCAGCTATAAATCAAAATTTCCATGACCCCTGACTCAGGTTTAACCATTTGCTAGGACTCAGAGAAACACATTGGCCAGTTTATTATTTAATAAAGGAAAGGATAAAGGATACAGATAAGCAGCCACATGAGAATGAATCCTTTAGAGTTCCTGAGTGTGGGAGCTTCTTTTCCCATGGAATTGGGGTACACCACCTTCTCAGCACATGGATGTTCCCCAATCCAGAAGCTCTTTAAACTCCATAGTTCAGGGATTTTTTTTTTTTTTAATGGAGGCTTCATCACATAGTCATGACTGATTGCTGACTCAATCCCCAGCTCCTTTCCCTTCCCATATGATAGATAGGGTGTGTGGTGGAGCTGAAATTTCCAAACTTCCTCTCCTGGCTTAGTCTTCCTGGTGCCAGCCCTCCTCCAGGAGCCCACACCTTGCCTCACTAAAACACAAGTCACTCCTTCCACCCAGGAAATTCTAAGGAATTAGGAGCCCTGTGTCAGGAATCGGGGGCAAACACCAACTATTAGAACAACAGATTCCCCTAGCACCCCCAGCTCAAATTATGACAAAGTTTTTAGGAGTTCTGTGTCAGAAATTGGAGAGAAATATATATATATTTCTATAAATCACAATATCATGGCCAGATTGGAGAAGATCTTGGAGACAGATCAGTAAGGAAGTTAATCACAATGGAACAATGAAAGGTTAATGAGAGCCGGATCCAAGGCTGGCATGTGGACCAAGGAGCAAGGGGACCCATACCACAATTTACATAAATAATATTAGGAGGGGGGAAGGACAAGGGAAGGGGAGTCGGGAAGCTGACAGGTGTTTTGTTTGGGTGATCAGGACGATGATTTTACTATTAACAGAATTTGGGACTGCAGGGGGAAAAGCAGGCTTAAGCAAGGAAGTCAATACTGAAAATGTAAAAATACAATTGGGAAAAGAAAACTACCTTTCTCCTTCCAGGTCAATGATGGGGGAGAGTGAAGATCTTTTGCAAAATAATTTAATCCAAGCCTTAAGAAGATAATGTGGAAATCAGAAATCACAGACCTTGATATTTCATTGGCCTTGTAGAAATTTAATTGTTAATAATATTTTATAAAAAGTCTTATAAAGTAAAAAATGCTGCACTGGCATTACCATATCAGTAAAGATGAGGAAGGCGAGAAGGTTGGAGAACATTAATGTACCAATAATCCTTGGGGCACAAAGAACAAAAGGCAATGCTATGTATATGAAGGTCTTGTTTAATTTGAATCTGTCCCATT